TGGTGTTTAGGAAAAGGTTAACCTATGTTTGTTTAGGAAAAGGTTTAGGAAAAGAAGTAAATTACAAGACAATGTACCTTTGGAATATTGCATAGCAAGTATAATCAATTTAAATGAAGGGGAACTTGTGCTGCTTGCTATATCAGAAATCTTTGAGCAGAACTTCTTGGTTTTGTCTTTAATAGATTTTTTTTTGTTGATTTTTGTCTGGTATAAATCTCTGGCCACTGTATCTCATTTAAAAATAACCTGGTGGAAATTTTTAAGGATCAACAGAAGTGAGTCTGTGAAGATTTGAATTGACTGAAATGTCTATCCTGTGTTAAGTAAAATGTTGCAAATGGTATTTTGTAGAAGATTCCTCTGTAAAAGATAAAGCTTTCCCCCTTATTTTCAGAACCCATTAAAAAATGAACGCTGTTTTGTTTATTTTCTGCACAGAAGTCATCTTTTGACAGAGAACACTGGATGATGTTCTCCACAATTAATTGCTACAACTACATTGATATTTGTGATTATACTTTGGGCTGTCACCTAGGCTTATATATTGAAATCTCAAAAACTATATGTAAGCTGATAGATTATGCATTTATATTTATTTTGAAATGGATACATATTTCTAATCTTAATGATGTGTTTGAATGTAAATAAAAGTCTCTGTATCTGTGTGCATATGCATGATTCAGGGACAATATACCATTGTCCTTGAAAATGAAAGCCCTGTATAAATGCAAGGTATTGATATTGGAAGTGATCTTCAAAGCTGCTCCATTTAAAGATATTTAACTATTAATAATGAGCTACATTCCAGATACATTAGTTCATATTCTGAGAGATCAAAGTGCCAAGATTATAGATAGCAGTTTTCAGGCTATAAAAGTCCTTTTACCTGAGCAGCTCGTCTTATCAGTGGACTTCTCTTGAATTTCTCATAATAGATATCCTCAGAGAAAATCTGTGGTGGGTATATTAAGAGATTTGCCTTATTTGTACCTGAAAGACTTGGAAATGTATTAGCAGAAATCTAGAGAGGACTAATATATGCCAAATTTTGCTACAATAATATTTGTTTTGGCAGGCTCAGCCAAAAAAAAAGACAGTAAATCATCAGAAATCCCTCATAAGTGATTTTCACAATAATATTGCTTAATAATCTGAATGAAGCTACTTTTAAAAATATCTCAGAAAATGGGACTTTTAGAGTAGAAATATCGTCCTGAAATATTTGGATGGAATTTGCAAGATGATTTTCCAATGGACATTCCCACATTGTATAGTGTATGGGTCAGTTTTACTAAGTAGGGAATGTTTGTTCCCAACTGTTCCCCATTCCTCTGTTTCAAGTACTAACAAGAGAAGATACTAGAATTGAGTTAATTTTCATTGTTTAGGTTGTCAAAAGAAGGAATTTGTATAGTAATTATAATAGGAAATGTATATATTCTGATTTTTAATGTTTCTGTTTTCCTTCAATGAAACTAATGAATAGTGATCAGAAACAAATAGTGATTTTTCTGTTGCGCTCAACCTTTATATTAATACTTCTTTACTCTAGCAATTATTAAATAAAACACATAAAGCACTAATCTACATGGAGCTGACTAGTGAACCCCAAGTGCCTGTGAGTTCTTCACATCAATCTTCTCTGAGTATGGAATTCAAATGCTAATATATTTAATATGCAAGACCTTTAATGCAGAAAAAGATATTTATTGAAAAGTGATGCAGCCACCTGATTAATTTTAGTTAGTTTTGAAGAGCCCACTCAAAATGGGTCAGGCTTGCACTATTTGAGCTGACTTTGAGAAAGTTTGGAGGCAATAGGTAACTTGACCTATATTTTTAAACTGGGACTTTAGAAACTGGGCTGAAGGAAGAATTTTGTAAGCTTTTTTCTATGCATGGAAATATTGAGGATTGGACACTGACTTAATCTTGTTCTAAGAATTCATATATTAAATGTGCACCTGATTTATTTCCTCATCTGAGAGTTTTAAGTGAAGTTCATTATAATTTTATCCGTGTAAAAGCAGAGGAGGCTCAAATTGCATTTAGCCAGGCATGTGTCTATTAAAAATGTCTATTGTTTGTCTGAAAAGTGATGCCTTCTGATTTTCAATTGTTTGTTGCTTTTTTCAGTAATTGAGTATTTTAGAAGTAAAACTTTTATTTTAAAAAGATTAAGAACGTTACAGAACTGATACTGTGTTGCAAAGTGCTGCTGCTTTGATTGTTGTCACGAGTCTCCAATTGTCTTTTGCTTCAGTTCTGCCTCGAGCTATGTTAATATGCTACAGTTTCTCAGAAAACACATCATAGTCCAGATCCTTTGCTTGTGCTAGTAACTGTTCATCACAGAAGACACAAATGGTCTGACTTTTGAGTCTGAAAAGTCAGGCAATTCTTCAGTATTTCTGAAGAACTGTTCTCCAATTGAAAAGAATGTGTGGTAAGACTACAAGAAGAGAATATTTTGACAGCCTTCAATATATGAAACACATTCATGGTATTTAATGATTTATGCTTTATTGCCTTCTGTAATCCTCATTTTTACCAATTTATGGAAATTTCAGTCTATTCTTTATTTAACTCCTCTGTTAATAGCATTAGTAAAAGCATGACATTAGTAAAGGCCTGCTAGTGTTATGACTTGGTGTATTGCTTTTTTTACTCCTTGCCATCAGAATACAAAAGAGTTTGAGAAAGAAGAGGTATTTACCCTTAGTTACTGCAGTTTTTCTTTTGCTGATCTAGATTGTTTTCTCCTAATTTTTCCAGGCCTTTCAAAATCCTCTACTAAGTCCCAATAGCTCTTATTTGCTAAGATTTCTGCATAAAAGCATGGCCTTATGTTTTTCTTCTATAGGAGGCACCTGTAGTATCCAAGTGTAGATTTATGCTTGGGTTTTTTGGCATTGACTACCACTAGTATTCTTCTGTAATTCGGTTTTTTACATGCTGACTTAGTAAGGCTTTAAAAGTTTCCTGTGAGCATGTACAAGGACCACTTGAAAACTGAGGAAGGTGGATGTAGAAATCATCCAGCACACAGAAAATGATGGCATAATCTGATCAGCTGATACCAAATACATTGTAAAACTTTAGATGGGGTCCTTTTGGACTATTTTATATTCTCTTTACACCATTTGCAATACGTTAAATCAAGCTGCTTTCTAGACAAACATCTTCCAAGTAACAGATTGCAACAAATGTACTTTTGTGGGTATCTGTTAGAAAATGTAGTGGTTTTCAGGTACAGTTTTTCCTGCCCCATTCAAGTTTTTAGGAGCACTTGGGACTATCACTTTTTTCTTTAGTTTTCCAAAAGAAGCTTGTCAAGACATGGAGAGAACATCTTAACTCTCTGTTGTGATGGCAGTAGATTTGGTGACCTAACTGCTTAGTGATTCATTTGAAGCAAACTTATTTGGGGAAAAGAGCAAGTATTTTACACAGTTTTGCTACAATCAGCTTTCAAGTGGCAATTCTTTGTATGAGAATAGAAGTTTTACTCATGGATAGCAGTGGTATTATTACTTGCCTCCCATCTGAATGCTGCAGGGTCTTTGTGTATGCTTGAGGCATAACTTGTCATAGAAGTGCTACTGATGAAACAAAAGCCCTTTCCTATTTTTTTCTCATAATTGCCAAATAAGAGGTACAGACAATGAAGACTAACAATGCTTACTATAATAATGTAAAAAAAAAATCATGCTATTCAACTAAATAAATTAGAACAGTTTTGTTGCTTAACTTCTGTGATTTTCTTTTTTTTTTTAATAAGTTTTTTTCTGTGTAATACTGTGGTTAGCCCTACAAGCAGTTTCCTAGTATAATATCTTTATATGGACTGAACCATATAAAGATATGGTTTAGCCATGGCAGGCAATTGCAATTCAGTGCATGTGGTGTGGGAAGAGTGGCTTTGGATAAAATCAATTTGTGAGGCATTAAAAAAATTAACTTCTGTCATTTTTGTTTGCTTCTTCCTCATGAACAAAGGAAACTTGCTTTTGGAAATATAAATGGAAATGTATGCTAATGAGTAGAAAATTCCTTTATGTACTCAAAAAGAGGGTTACAGTACCAAGAAGAACTGAGATTCTGGTTTCAAGCTTCATCAGCTGAAGTATGCTGTTTGAAAAAAAATCTGCCTCGGGTCACAGCTAAAACATTTATTTAACTAGTCTCATTATAAAGCTTTATAGACTTCCAAGAGAAATTAATAATTCAAAAGGACATCTGTTAGTAAATAATTTAAATAACCATTTTTAAGCTAACAGTCATTAGTTACCTGTGTAATATTTCTGAAAAACTGTTCTCCAATTGAAAAGAATGTGTGGCAAGACTACAAGAAGAGAATAATTTGACAGTCTCCAGTATATGAAACACATTAATAGTATTTAATGATTTATGCTTTACTACCTTCTGTAATCCTCATTTTTACCATTTGACCTTCAGAGTATATTGTGCTAATTAATTGCACAAAACTGAAGCCTCTGTAAAAAAACTGTTACTTGCATCTGAGACTTGTCAGTAATTGTGAGCCTCAATTAGTCTTTCATACATTTGATTTTATGGATCTCTGCTCTAACCACTCTGTATGCATTTCTCTTTCATGATGAAAGATACTTTTTTAAAATATAAAAGTCACAGCATAATCTTTGAGCATTCCATGTTGTTATACCCTAATGTCTTTTCTATTTTTTCTCTGTACTGGTATAAAATATACAACAACCAGAATTTGAGCTACTTTCATAAAGTTGCATTTTGAGGATTCTTGGTTTGTTACCGAAATCTTTTCCAATTAAATCTCCTCCCACTCTGTCCCATTGCCAAAATGAACAGATTTTTTTCTCTGCTGCTGGACATCAAGGAGGCATTTTCAGATTGCTGTTCTTGATGACTCTAAAATGCCATTCTCATAACCTGGTATAGAGCCCATATGTGTTGGGGGTTGTGTGTGTGTATTTTTGTAATGCATCACTTTATGTTTATAGGCAGTGGATTTCACCTGTAATTCAACTTTCCACACTTCTGTGAAAGCCTTCTGCAACTTTGATCATTCTGAATTATTAACAGGTATGTTTTTCCTTCATTACCAATTTTTGAACAGTTAACTTTACTTCACTTACATGTGGAAGTGTAAATATCTCTGTCTATAGATAGATTAAATATATATTAGAGATCATATATCCATATTATATATTTATACTTATGTGATATGTTGTAAGGAATGAATAAATTTCCTTTCTAAATGCAATATATCCTCTTATTCCTTTGTAATTTATGTCTTCTATTGTGTTCTTTGTGCTACTGTTACACACACATACTCATAACTGGTCTATTTATGTTTAATAAAATACCATTTTAGACAAATGTGCATATATATGTGCGTATATGAATTCATATACTCTCATATTTGATTTTATCATAATTGTAAAACCACAGGTATGTTTAATCCTAGCTTTACTGGTAATTTTCATATGTTCTGCTTAATCCTTACACTGCTAGTTTTGTAAAAATATCAGAGAAAATTCCTAATTTTGTAGCTGTTTTTTCTGCTGTCAAAATTATGCTAGTGTTGCATGAGAGCCCTCAAATCTAAGACTTAAATGCTTAAAAATAGCAGCTGGCATCAAAACTAATTTTTAATAATACTACATCTGCAATGTGGATTCACCTGAAGACAGTATGGTTTTTTATTATTTTTTTTGGGGGGGGTCCTGGAATATAAAACTACATTATTTTTATGAAGCTTAAACTTTGTAAAGCTCTGGCTCTATGGTTTTAACTTTTGCTGCAGTGGGATGGAACAATTGTGTTTTACAAACTATTCACTGTGATTTTGTAAGTGTTTGGAATAGTGTTTGGTAGAGAAGTTCCACAACTTGAAAATATCACTGAAGCAGAGTCTGCAGAGATGAGTGACATTTCATCCCACCTCTCCTGATGCTCTCTCTCTACAATTGCTGTTGTATCTTGGGGAGAGTTGGTCACAGAAAAGCCAGAAGTATTCATATCTTCTTGAGGTAGTAGAGGAACTGCATAAGGACAAGCAATTTCTGCATGTGTGCCCTCATCAAGGTGCCAGCACTGCCATGGAAGCTGTGTTCATAGGCAGGAGCTTTGCTGAAGGCACAGAGGTGTTCTCTGGGATTTGTGACTCCTCACTGGGAGAAGGTTTCCCTCTGTGGTGTGTCCTGCACATCCATAGCAGAGCATCAGGGACCCGCTGGCAGCCGTGGGCTGTCCCCAGGGCTGTGGTGAAGGGGATGGTTAGAGCCAGGCCAGAGCTGCTCACGTGCTGTCAGGGGTTGTGATTTAAGTATCTTGTTGTCTGTATGCCATAATAATGCTGCTTTGTGTCACACCTGGAGCCTGTCAGATACTGGCAGGGCCCTATTGGCATTCCATGTGGTTACTTCTTAGTGTGTCTGGATGTGCTTCCACACTAGGAATACATAAGCTCATTTAAAATATGGCTCTTAGCCCATGGTGGGTAAGGACATCCTTGTTTGTTGTTTTTCTTGCAGTTGAGTGTGACAAAGAGCCTCTGTTTGTTGAGTAAACTCAGTAAAGGGTTCAGCTGTGTCTGAACAACGGTATTAAGGAATATCAGACTCTCCAAACAACCCAGAAAGGATTATGCCATTTTTCTTTTCCAGCTGAGAGGCTGTATTACCAAAATAAATAAAATTGAAGGAAAACAATTGGATCCTTGTTAAATAAACTTGGAGAGATTTTTGAAATGTGTTTGAAATCTGGATGCCACATTTAAATCTAATTAGACCTGGAAAGATGCATGTGAGATTGAGCCAATGTCTCCCAGTCAACCTTGCACTGCAGTGCTTCCAGCAGAAAGTTGTTGCAATGAGAAGCAGAGTTTGGATGAATTTCTCTTGCTGTTTTGTTTTTAATTTTATTTTGGGGTTTGTGGGTTTTCTTTTGTTTGTTTTTTTCTTTTCTTCAGAGAAGTGCTTCTTAAATACTATTTATATACTGTGACCTCCTGTGTGATATTGATTATATTTAATGTTGAATTAGGGTGCATCTGCATTTGATCTTGAAAAGAATGGGCTGGAAGGCATTGCTTAGGCTTGTAATTGTGCTTTGTATTCATGCTATGATATGTTGCTTCTTGTTAGGAGAAGAACCAAATGTCTGTATGTGTCTTGAAATGGTCCCATTTATTGGATGTGAGTGCTTTTATCTGAATTCCAGTTTAAGCAGTGATGGCAAGGCTTACTCTGAAGATTTTTGATAACAATAGGAATTAATGTAGGAATTATCTTTTCTTGATTTAATCTTGCCTGTCAGCTATGAAGAGTTGTACCTTGTGGTTTGCTCTTTATTAATTAGCTTTTGTCTGGTAAGCACAGGATGGAAAGTTACTCTTGTAGGCAAAGTCAAAACCTCAGAGGGCTGAGGTAGTGCCAATTCTTAGCCCTGGCCTCAGAAGGAGCCAGGATAAGCAAACAATGTTGCCTGTCTTCTGTGATGCTATTTTCTCTATAATTCCTCATCTGAAGGCAGAATTTCTGGGAAAAGTAGACAAATTCATATGAACTTTAGTTTCTCTTGTCCAAGAATCTGATTTACATGAGAGAACTTTTTGTTTGTTAGTGTTAGAAATAATCAAAATAATTAAGACAGGTTAAGACTCTGTGAGTGCTTTTCTATGAGAGATAATTAATAACTAAACCCATGTTTAAAATTTAGTGTTTGCTAAATTATATTCAATTAGGTTGGTAAGAAAAAGAAGGATCTAGCATTTTTATTACTTTTTTTCTTTTAATTTAGAAATTGTTTTCCTTTATGGATGGGCATTTTTCTGCAAGATGTGGTTGTTTCCGTGCATTATATACCATATCTGCTGGAACAGACTTGCTTTTCTGTGTGCTTCTGCTTCTTTTAGCCTTACAAAAATGAACACATTACTTGAAGTTACAAGATGACACATCCTTGAGGTCCTTTCTACATAGGATTAACATCCATCTTCACTTTAAGTCAACCAGAAGTTGTACAGAAAGTACACTTGTGCACTTGTTAAACTCTGGACGAGACCTGAACTACTTTCCATTAGTAAATTATTCTTGTTACAGGTTTTCTCTGGCTTTAATACAAAATAGGATTAAAACCTACTGAACTTTAATCCTGTTACAACATTTTGATGCTTCATGTGGTTAGCTGACTCCAAGTATTCTGTGACAAATTTGCCAAATTTTTCTACGGCTGGTATCTCTTAGGAGCCAGTGTTGCACCACCGGTCCCTCTTCAGCCCCTTGCTGTGAAAAATGTTTCACTTTCTTGGTAGCTCTAAATGATAATGCCTTGATTTTAGCGTTTTTGTTGTCCTGTTGCTCGTAGCACTACGAGAAGTTTCTGGGGCAGCAACAACTCAGATTCAGCTTCAAGGGGCGCTGGCCTGCTGACATGGACTGTGTCCCTCTGGGGGTCCTATCAGCGATGCTGTCCTCAGCATTGTTTTTCAAAACATGGTTATTGGTTTAATTTGCTTAAAATTTCCCATAAGGAGAAATAGGCATTAGGCCTTTCTTCCTGGGAGGAATTTGTACCAGGCAAAACCTGTCACAGAGCATTTGCTGCAAACTATCACACAGTTCTGCTAAGAAAAAGAGCAAGTGAAACTAAAATAGTTTATGTCACTATTAAAATTTCACTCAATTTTTCTGTATATGGCATGTGCTTTTAGGAAGACCAGATTCCTTAGGAACCAGGCTGGTTGGTACTTTAAATCCTGAAATCTCAGGTCTCTGACACCTTTGTCTGTCCTGTAGATAGTTTTGTTGTTGAATAAAATCATGAATTTCAATGGGAGTAAGAAGAAAAGTAGCTCTCAGCATATGGAGAATGTTTCCCACAGCGTGGGAAGCCATAGAGAGTAGATGGATTTAATACACTAGAGTGAAATTACTGACCCTGATAAAGACTTTTTCTGGACCCTTGAAGTCATCTTTAATGATATGATCAGTTTTACTACTTGGTGGAGGTTATGCAAATTTAGAGACTGAAATAATGCATAAGATCTAGAGCCACTGTATCTAAAACTTTTGACTAGATCTGGCATGAGATAAAGTGCTCTTCTTGGACTTTCTAGAAGCACTGTTTGTCTGCTGCATGCTGACAGGAGCTAAGCAGTCTTTACTTATTCTTGAATCAGTTCTGGGGAAAGAACACTACTACATAACAGAGAGAATATGTAATTGTTCTAAAGGGTAAATATGTGGGTTTGAAACTGTCTCTTTTTGAACAATTTTCATCTAATATTTAGTACTCAATGCAAATTGAATAACTAAAATTTATTTTGTTTGAATGGACATCACACCAAAAGAGTAACGCAAATACTGAGTTATTGGTGTTTTATAGGAGGGTCAGGAGAGAGAGGATCTGTAAGACTTGGGATCTTTTATTGTTTTCTTCTTTTCAAATCCATGATAAAACTGATCGTGTGCACCTTAGGCAGAGTGTGTTAAGCTGCCACCTGATCAAACCCTATCACTCTTTACTGTAAAGCAACTTCATAATTTGCAAATATTATGAATTATTAATAGTGATTACTTTGTGCTTACATCTGGATTCTGCAAGGATTCATCACCAAAAAAATCCCAGTACAGCACTACTCTTTAGCAATTCCGTGTCTGAAGTTCTGTTTTATATTTATTAACATATTTTTCATTAAAAACCCTCATATTTTATTACAGTAATCAGACAATCTTAAAAGCATTTCAATTATTGGCTGTTGAGATTATGCCTATTTTTATATAATTGCCTGTATTGTTGACCTTTCTGTGACATTTTCAGAATCAGTGTCACACTGAGTACTGATCTGAGAGTAATTTTTTTTTGGTTATTGGGTTTTGTTTTAAAAGCACTATTAGCTTTATCATTTTACATTGTTTTTCTTTGTAACTGTTTGGACCTTTCCTTTGGGAAGGCAACACTGGGGAGCTCTGTTGGCGTTTTTAATACTTTGGGATGCATGCTTTCTGTTTCTGAAGATTTAAAAACATTGTACAAATGGTCATTATTTAATAACTTATTTTTTAATAACCAGAATG